CCTTCCTTCCTTCCTTCCTTCCTTCCTTCCTTCCTTCCTTCCTTCCTTCCTTCCTTCCTTCCTTCCTTCCTGGATTCATAGGCTCTCTGCGGCCAACCATCCTTTGACTCCTCAATGCGATATGGACCCCAGCAGTTCTGAAGAGTTCTACCAAGCCGTACACCATGCTGAGCAGACCTTCAGAAAAATGGAAAGCTACCTGAAGCAACAACAACTCTGTGATGTTATTTTGATTGCTGGGAACCGTAAGATACCTGCACATAGGTATGTAATAAAGTAAAGCAGTTGGACACTTGTAAGAACCATTTATTAGATAGGAGTTAAAAACAAACCAAAATACCAACTACGATTGCACCTCATTCTTGAAAGTATGCCATTATATACATATATATGTATGTATGTGTGTTCATTCTAGTCTCCAGAAACAGTTTCTTCTTGATAAAAGGAGTATATAATGATGCAAACTTACTTACTTACTTACTTACTTATTTATTTATTTATTAGATTGGCGATGTAGTCCCCTTTTCCTCTAGAAGGAAAGGTTTATGTCCTCAACATTTATCAACAGTTATATATTTAGCATTTTATGTTTTAAAGTGTTGTCTTGTGGTTTTACGTTTAAACTTTGTTCACCACTCAGAGTCACTGTGGTGAGAAGGATGGCCATATAAATCAAAATGAATAATAAATAGACATTATTATTCAGATTTATATCATTTATTTGTGCAAATATTTTAAAAAATATGCTAGGAAATAAAGAAAATATGGTATTATCGTTACTGAAGTACAGAATTTTTCACGTCGAAAAATGCAAAATTATACAGTTTGTTCAAAAGTATTCAGTACACTGTTTCCTTAAATAGCTAAATGGCTTCTGTATATACAGTATTTTCAAAATCAGAGATACCTGATAGAATCTTTTATTACTTTATTCACCAGATGCATTAAACAACAACAACAAAAAATCTTTCTAGTCTTCGAGATGTTACAGAATGGTGGGGTTGTTCTTGTTGATTAAAGAGAAAGGTAGAGAAATTGCTTTATCAACCCTTATCTGTTTAAAGTCAATGTAATCAATCCTTCAGCTGGAATTGGCCCACCTGGTGTGTTCATGCCAAGGTAAACTCTTGGTGTTTTCCATGAGATATTTGGGGTGGGGGGGAGTAGATGCTTATAAGTGCTGCTTCTTGTATAGAACAGCTCCCTTAGAAGTTAGGCCTTCTGGAAACTCCTTATGCTGCAGGGGTTATGAAGAGTGACGGTTTGATTGTTTATATGATGGTTTTAGTTCCTACCATGATGTTTTATTTAAATACTTGGGTTATTGTAAACCAAGAGTCTCACAATTGGACCAACTAAGATTAAATGTTTATTAATGGTCCAGTATAACCCCAACAAGAAGTTAGTTTGTTTGGTAGAGGACATAATTCTGGCTAAGATAATAGCCAAGGAAGAGAGAGAGAGGAAGAAAGAAAGATTTAAATTGCTTAGTAGATTGGATGTAGTTTTTTGTAGTTTTTCTTTTGAACACTGAGCGGGTTTGGGGCCATCATGATTGTGACCTTTACACGTGATGAGAGGAGGCTTAAACTTTTTCTCTACAGCTATTTGATCCCATCTCTGTGTAGAAGATTTTAAAAAATCTAGCGTTTAAGCTGTATCATATGTATTTTGTAATAAGGTACTTATTTTGCAGAATAAGTTTTTATATGGAAAATGCAAATTCTGTTCTTTTAGTGCAATGCTGGTTTTTAATGGGAAGATTGGTTATCATATCCATCTTGACTGAATTTGGTTTAATAGCTATTTCAGTTCAGTAGCAATTAGATCTTTCTGGAGCAATAAAGGATATGTTTAACAAGCTTGCCTCTGAAATAAAGCTGAATCACAGTTTACCTTTATAGTTCAAGATGCAAACATACTGGTAGACTTTTTCAGATTTCCAGGCATTTTGAAAGCAACTTTTCTATTTAGAATTGTTGACACACACAGTGCATAACACACACCCACATTTCTGCATCACATGGAAGTGAAAAGCTTAGGCAGTGAAATGTGCAAATTAAAAAGACATTTATTGTCTGTCATGGGTGACATGGCGAGGGCTCTGCAGGGTCTCCTCATGCGGCCTCTGAACTTCTGCCTTTGTTCTTCCCCCACATATAATAACCAGGCTTTTTGGGGGAAAAAATCAATTCTTGCCACCTGTTCTCTACTCTTGATCTGCTACAGCAAGTTTAGAAGATGAAAACCATCTACAGCATCAACATTTCTTAAGTATCATCTAGATTTAGAAATTCTTAGACTATAAACTTATGTAGAAAAGCAAGAAGACATATGTATTTTTTCATGTTACAATATATACATTTACTGATACTTGAATCAGTTTTTTGATACTTTGCAGAATGTAAGAAATCAGGGTCAGTATCGACACCTGTTATCAACTGCACATTTAATCTTCCGGATCTACATTACAGTAGATCTAGATCCAGATCTAGGGAGGAATGAATCAAATACAGTGCATGACAAACTGATCTCAAAACGATATGAACAGTTAGCCTGGATTTTCACACATGGATCTTCCTATTCACCTACCAGTGCCTCACAGCAGATGAGATCTTCACTGATTTCAGCAAGAGATATTTGAAATAAAACCCTTTTATTATTGTGAAAGTCAATACATTCCCATCTTATGTTATCAGATGGCCACTTTCCCCTTTTTGAACACATTTTGCACAAAAGAGATGAGCATTTCAGATGGTTATCACGTACATGGTGGCATTTCCCATGTTCCAGTAGACTTGCAGTGTTGCATATTATTTGTGCTACAATTTACAATTTTCAGAGATTACTGCATTTCCAGCGAACCATGGCACCGAGAGTACAATCGTCACACCGTCCCACTTCATTCCAACATTACTCTGCAGGGAGTAAAGAAATGTTCTGTTGTACAGGGGAAGCAGTCTGTATAGGGGAGCACCGAAATGAGAGTTTCTCTGACTGCATAATTACCTTCCTCATAGTATGGACAACTGAGTTATGTCAATGGATTGTGAGTCCAACTTTTTATCTTTTTAATGGCAATTGAAATGCATACCGCTTAACGTAAGAATCTGGTCTAGAACCCTGGAGTGACACCTTTCCTACTATAAACAGTGAGCAGAAGATTGTGGTGCCCCCCTTGAAGGACTAAAATGTTAGGCGATCCACGTTTTCCAATAAGGATTATAGTTGCAGAGTTGGGATGCCGTGAAAAAAGTTTTCATAACATCATTTGTGAGTTCTCTTACAAGAAAACTCAAAAATATTTTGGCCAACTGAGATGTTAAATACTCTGAGCGCAGGAAGGAGTTGTACTTGTGATTTTCACATTGTTCCGATTTTGGCAGAACCCGCTTCAGTTTGGGAACCAGTCAAGCAGCATATGTGGAAGCAGAAGGTTTGATTAAATACGTTCTGGAAAAGTTAAACCAATTATATTTATATCCAATTAATTTCTGCGTTGATAGATTATCTTTGGACTACATATATTATGCAACAATCCGTGGAAGAAACAAGGCTCATTAGTTTATTCTTGAAGTGTAGCAGGAATTGGAGAGAAGAAAATGACATCTAGAAGACAACTGACCTTTCTGCTGAATAGGTCACTATGCCGCTCAGCCAAAATTTAGCACCACCTGCAGCCCTTGGAAGTTCAGAAGTGAATAGCACATTGTGAATTCAGGAAGGCTTCCTGAATGAGATTAATTATGAGGCACTGTTTGGTTATTATTGCATCTGGTTAAATGCTAGAGAAAAAGGGAGAACAATGCACACACAAAGAAGTAATTCTGTTTGACGATTGCAGCTTTGCTACTTGTTAAAAAAGAGATCAATTCGTACAATACATATTTCAAAAAGTTCAGGCATTTAACGGCCTTTAGGGCTTTCACATGAGAAGATGCATGATCAGAATGCAAAGAAAAACGTGGACACTTTTTCCATTGGAACTGATTCCATTATTGAGCGTAATGAAGGGGAATTTTAGAGTTTTCTTCCTGTCCACTAGTCAGGAACATCCTGTATGGCTGAGTATATTCTGCAGAGGAAAAAACTCCAGCTACCTTTTGATTTTTGCCAGTGACAGCTGTGTCTTTTTTTTTTTTTTTTCCAAGGCAGAGCTGGGGAAAATATGGAGTAGTAGTACCAAGGTGGTGGAAACTGACTTCAAGGAGCTTTCCTGACCTTCAGGTTTATGCATATGGACATGTTTTTGACCAGACGTTTCTATCATTGTAATCTGTCTCTTCAAAGAGTTTCATTTTCTTCTGTTTGGAAAGCATATATTACTCATAATTCTTCTTCGTTTCTCTTTTGATATTAGTGTTGCTTTATTAATGAGGACAATGTGATTTTATTATGTGATTTTATCATATGTGACCCACCTTGGGTGCTGTTGTGGCTGAAACGCAGGAAACCTATCCTACAAACAGATCAATATCCTGCCTATATCCAGGAAACTCTTGTAAACCCATGTTCATGAAAATAGTCAATGGACATATGAGACTCGCTCTTAGATACAAAACCACTTTGTACTTAACTACTGTGCTTCTGTGTGAAAATGCCAACAGTCCATCATCTATAACCAAACCCTACAGGGCAACCCGATCTATTCAACAGAGATTTACCACCAAGGAATTTAAATTGTGCATTTCTCCAAGAACGCTATCCATCCAGTGAAAAGTCTACCCAGAACAGGCAAAAGTCAGTATTTCAGTGGAAAAGCTCATTGGATGGCATGCCTCCTTACTAAGTTTAATTAGAGAGTTACTTGGCTGTATCTTTTCTCTCCCTACTGCGGTGCCAGGTCCTCAGTGCCAGTTTTGAGTCTTATAACTTATAACAGGTGTGTTTATTGCTTATTAGTTTTATGAACGGATTTTGTGGTTTTATTGTTATTTCATCTCATGTTCAAACCACCTGGAATTGGAGGAGTATGTGGGATATAAATCTTGGCAAACAAACAAGCAAAGCTTTACCCCAACACTTTCTCAGAAGTTTTCTTACCTTGCCAAAATACAAAATAAAAATAAAAAATTCCTACCTTATTTTCAGGATACTTGACAATTTAGTTGAATTTCTCTTGAGGTGTTTTTGAACTTACCTTATTTTCAAAGGTGACGGGGCTAGTTGTGTTATTGTTGTTTGTGCAAGTCTTTCCATTATTCCCAAGCCTCTGTGGCTGCCCACACTTTGCAACTGAAAAATCCAACGAGATAATGCTTCCA